TGGGCCAGGGTGGGGGTGGGGTGGTAGCAGAGGTTGGTAGGATGGATGATCTTTAAGGTATTGTCTAGCTCTTAAGTTGCGAAGAATTCCAGACAAGACCTTTGCTGTTAGCTACCCTTGAGTTGAATCTAACTCATGATGGTGCCGGAAAGACTCCATGCGTGCAGAACAGAACACAGAGTTTTCAAGGCTGGGACTGGTTGGAAGCAGATAGCCAGGAGTGCCTTCTGGGTAGAATTTGTACCACTCAGGCTGGCCAGACAGAGACTCCTAGAACATAAAGCACAGGTCTGTGAACCACCCACGAAGGTCCAGGCTGATCAGCAAGCAAGACACCCCTGGACAAAGTGATCCAACTACCTTGTTCCTTAACTCTCCCTCCATCATCTTGATCAGGAAGCGGTGTGGTCTAATGCTCAACCAGAAATTTAGAAATTATCACCAGCTCCCCAACCCCTCTAAAAGGCAAAATTCGAAAACCCCTAGTACTATTTATTGTTGCCTTAGTCAGCACTCCTGGAGCATGTATGGAATATGCAAAGTGATCGTAAAAGGGTTATCTGCAAATGAGGAGATTCCCTTTCAGCCTGTGCAGAAAATTCCTCAACAAAGAGCAATTTAAAGTGCATTCCTTGAATCACTCAAAAATCTCACAATAAGTCCTGGAGGAAGGGAAGGAGGGAGGAGAAAGGAGATGGGGAAGAAAGGAGGAGGAGGGGGAAGGAAAGCGCATCAGAATGACCATGGTCAGCTCCTAGGTAGTGCCTCGATACCTAGATCCTTCTCCTAACCACACCAAACCAAACCAAACCTCGCTGCCATTGAGTCAATTCAAACTCACAGTGACCCCATAGGACAGAGTAGAGCTACCCCTGTGGGTTCCAAGAATGAAACTGTTTAGGGGAGTAGAAAGTCTTATCTTTCTTCCACAGAGCAGCTGCCACATGTGAACTGCTGACCTTGAAGCAAAAGCAGCCCAATTGTAACCACTCTTGTTAAAAATGTAGATTCTGCTTCTGGTTGCCTGGGGTGGAAAGGCAAATTCTCCAGCAGTGGAGCTAACTGGGTGAACTGGTTCAAAACCCTGGATTGACCGTACTTGGGGGAAAGGCGGACTCTCCGAGTAAGGCATGACGATAAAAGAATGGGGAAGAAACGAGTGGGGAAGTCTAGAAACTAGAGCAGGGTCTTTCAGGTGCTTTGCCTGGCAGGACATAAACAGGAGTCCCTTGGTGGTACAAACTGGTTAACATGATCAACTGCTAGCTGAAAGGTTGGAGGGAGGTTGGCATCCACCAGAGGTGCCTCATAAGAAAGGTCTGGCATTCAAATTCCGAAAAACCCACTGTTGAAAAACCATAGGGCACAAGTGGGGTCATCACAACTCAGAGTGGACTGGATGGCACCTGGATAAGTAAACAGACTCATCCACTCAGTTCGTGACGGTATATTAAGCATCTGTGTGGCTTGGGCACAGTGCTAGGTGCTCGACATGATGGAAGTAACCACAACAAGACAGATGGGGTCTCTGCCCTCATCCTCACAGGCTTTCATTCAACTCTCCCTGACATGTTATCAGAGAGACCGGTCCCTGGCAAAGGACATCATGTTCAGTAAAGGGGGGGGGGGGCAGTGAACAAGAGGAAGGCCCTCAAGGAGATGGATTGACCTCATGGCTGCGTTGAATAGCTTCAAGTAGGAATTGACTTGACCTGTTACCACAGCTGTGGTTGTTCCGTCAGTTCCGATGCCCCAAAGGGTGTTGTCTTGGCTTCGATGAGCGAGCTAGGCAGAAGTACCAGAAAGAAAAAAAACAAACAAACAAAAAACCCAGGGAAAGCAGGACTGCTTTGCTTCTCCCAGACAAGCCCTGTGAGAGATGGGAAATGACAGCTTTCGCATCCTTCAGCAAGCACCTTGTCTGGTGGGAGCAGGCAGGAGTAAAGGCTTCCCAGAGAAAGCCCTACCCAGGTAACATCGCCTCAAGTTGGGGCAACCAAATGGCAATGTCCCCAATAAGAAGCCTGTGGAGATGCCCTGGGCTGTCCTGGCTGGGCAGCTGGGCACCCTTCACATCACCATCAGGCCAGCTTCCCGAGAGACCCCCTATGCGTTGGCCCTCACTTTCCCTACCCAGCTCCTGTATCCCCTGAACTTTCTCAACTGCTTCTTCAACATCCTCAGATATGTAGTTTTGCTGGGGTCCCCTACACTCAACCTTCCTACCCCTCATCCAGGCCTGCTGAAACATGCTGTGGACCCTCGCCATTCTTGGGCACAACCCGTGGCTGCTTCTCTTGCTGTTCGAAGGGCTTGTGGGGCTATAGAGTTTACCTTTCTGGCCAGGATCCTTTCTGAAGCTAGGGCTTATTTGTAGGATTTTCTGGCTCCCTGCTCAGGCCCTAGAACAGTGCCTCCATAAATATCTAGGGGAGCTCCTCAGAAGCACATCTGTCTATTACCTATCTTCTCCTGCAAATGACACAGACAAACAACACAGCAATCTAGACCCATTGTGCTTTGTGCACTGGTTCAGGCCTTTTAAACTTCCTTCCACTCTTTCCAAAATCTCAAGTCTCTGATGCTCCCTCCCTTCCAGCTCTCTTTATCACCTCCACCCCAGCCCTAGTCAGGACTTTGTCCCTTTACAAGCCCAACGGACCTTCAGTTACAAATTCTTTCCACTGTCATGCTCCTCCTTCAGACCAGAGGGGGTGGATATTTCATGAAGGCTAGTCGCACAGTTCATCCCCCAGGCAACTGCAGGGACTCTGAGACACCCTAGAACCTACTGGGTACTTATGAACTAAACATATTTGTAACCAATACAAGTTTGGGAATACCTGGCTGTTTCATTTCGATGACAATAGTTTACAGTATCGGGAGCCCTGGTGGTGCCCTGGGTCAAATGAAAGGTCAGCAGTTTAAACTCACCAGGTGCTTTGGAACAGAAGGATGTGGCAGTTTGCTTCCATAAAGATCTAGAGTCTAAGAACCCCAAGAAGCAGGGTCGGCCTGGGGGGGTGGCATGTAATTCTACAGGTCTCCTCTAGCCTACTGGCTTGACACAGGCTCGCTATGAAGTAGAACTGAAACGGGATCTACTTTGTCTTTTGAAAATAATCAGTGTTGCTGTTTTCTGAATAGAACGCGTCTTAGTGATTCACTGATTCTATTTAGAAAGGGAAAACATTGGTTGAGCAGTGAGTTACACATTGGACTGCTAACCACAAGGTCAGCAGTTTGAACCCACCAGCCGCTTACTGCTCCTGTAAAGAGTTACCGCCTCAGAAACCCACAGGGGCTGTGCTCCTCTGTCCGTAGGGGCTGCTCTGAGTCAGAATTGACTCAATGGCAGTGAGCTTTTTCTTTGTTTTTTTTAGTTGCCAAATACTATGCTCGACACTTGAAAGATGGACCTCATCTAATCCTCACAGTCCCACTTTACAGATGGTAAAACGGAGGCCAAACGACATGACATGACTTGCTGAGAAATTGTGGAGCTAGCATTCTACCGCCGATTCTTTTCCTACATAGCCCTGGCTTTTAGTTCTGACACCAGTAAATCATAGTGGCAGGTGAAGCCTAAGTAGTGAGTCTTCCACTTGGAGACAGAGATCTCCGCAAAGATGTGACTCGGGCAGAAAGAATGTTAACATTCCTTGGGGGGAAAGGTGTTCCACTGAGTCACTAAGAATAACGGCTTCTTCTATCAGGACAGGCCACGTCCTTGGTTTACTTTTCCTTTAAAAGTGCATCGAATTGACCCAGTATGGGATATGATCTACCTGACCACCAAGAGCACCTTTTTACACCATCACTCATCACCCCAGGTAACTTTCCTTTCAAAATAAAGATGGGTCATCTGCTATACATTCCTGGCACCAGCTGTTTCCTGAAAGCTGGTCCACGGAGTCAAATTGGAAGACTTCCGATTTCACGAAGATGTCACACATTATATTTTGATAGAATATAAATGAATGAAAAAAACATGGAGTTGAAAATAAAACGAATCAAAAAGCGTGTTAAAGTAAACAAGCAAGAAAGGGCCAAAGTCTCTTTAACACCAGGGCTTTAAACCAGTTAGTTCCAGTTCAACACCCTATCCACCTGAACTTCCTGTTCTACCCCAGATAGAAACCGAATTTGTAGTTTACCAGAGATCCTCAGAAATGCCTAGAAAGCCTAATAACGCTTGTTAAAATTCGGTTTGGATTCCATGTATCTGGGGCAGAAGTGTCCATTTTCAGCAGATGCTCGAACTCCATCTGCTTCCAAGCCCTGCTTATGCCCCAAGGAAACACCAGCTTCGTATCCCCTTTTAAGAAGGTTTAATCAGGTCGCATTTATTCATTCAACCAACATTTATTGAGCACTGAAACTGTGCTAGATGCTACAAAGTGTGACTTGAACAAGATAAACCAGGCTCAGTCTTTAACCCGCTACATTGCTGAAAAGGCTCTTGATAACTACGGTGCTTAAGGTTCTCGGCCAAGATTCAAGGTTTTCAGAAAGAGTTTCGAGAGGCGTCTTGTGGAATATCTGGAAAGTTCATTTGTAGCAGAACTGGCAAGATTTGTTAACAAAGCAAAGGGAGCGAGGTGGTCTCTAGGCCACCCCTGGGCTGGCGTCTCTGAGGTGGCGGGGCGGCAGCGTGTCACACCTCCACAGGTTCAGGTCATTCGGTTGCGCTTTGGGCTGGGCAAGTCTGTGAGGGCCTGGGCACCCGGAGATGAAGGGCGCTTGCGGATCCCGGCGCCTCCCGGCCCGGCGTCGACTTCTTCCGCATTCGCGGGGTTCAAGGCGTGGCCGTCGAGGAAGGTAATTTTGCGGCACGCGGCAGCGCTGCCGCCACCATAACCGTCGCCGCCTGGGTCACTGTTGCGCGGCTGCGGGCTGGGCGCGGCGGCCGCCAGGGTACGGTCAAAGCCATGCAGGGCGATGGCCTCGTGGAACGGCTGCAGGTCGACGAGCGCAGGGGATGAGGCCGCCTGGCCCGGACCCCCGACGGCGGCGGTGACCGCTGGCTTGGCGGCGGGCCGGGGGGCTCTCGGCGCCGCGGGGGTGGCCGGCCCTTTGCCACAGAGGAAACCAATCAGGTCTTCGCGGCGGATGAGGCTGCGACCATTCTGCGCCCAGGCCAGCACATCCCCGACGCGCCGCTGGCGGCCCACCTGGACGCCCAGGTCAAAACTTTGGCGTTGGGCATCCCCGCTAGCCTTGTAGAGGCTGGTCACGGCCACGGCCGCGTGCTGGAAGGGGTCCCACGGCGACACGCCCGCCTCCACCTGCCACCCTGGCTCTTGGTAGAGCTGAGCCACGGCGGTGGCCGACTTCTGGAAGTGGTGCCACAGCTGCCTCTGCTGCTCCTGCTGGAGCCCCGTCGCTTGGGCAGCCGCCGCCTCCTGCTGCTCGGCGGCAGGCGGCTCGGCCGCGCACG